ATAATGTATTTTTTTAAAGATGTATTTGTTTATTTGAAAGGCAGAGTTACAGAGAGAGGGAAGGAGAGACAGAGAGATCTTCCATCTGCTGGTTTCCCAAATGGTCACCATAACCAGCTGGGCCAGGCTGGAGCCAGGAGCCAGGAGCCTGGAGCCTTATCCTGTTCTCCCACATGAGTACAGGTGCCCAGGGACTTGGGCCATCTTCCACTGCTTTCCCAGGTGCATTATTAGGAAGGATCTGGATCGGAAGTAGAGTAGCCAGGACTCCAACTGATGCTCATATGGGATGCCGGTACTGTAGTCAGTATCTTTAACTCACTGTGCCACAGCGCTGACCCCTATGTACAATGTATTAACATATTTACTTGTGTACAGTTTTTTTTTTTTTTTTTTTTGACAGGCAGAGTGGACAGTGAGAGAGAGAGACAGAGAAAAAGGTCTTCCTTTTCCTTTGGTTCACCCCCCAATGGCCGCTGTGGCCGGCGCACTGCGGCCGGCGCACCGCGCTGATCCGAAGCCAGGAGCCAGGTGCTTCTCCTGGTCTCTCATGGGGTGCAGGGCCCAAGGTCTTGGGACATCTTCCACTGCCTTCTCAGGCCATAGCAGAGAGCTGGACTGGAAGAGGAGTGACCGGGACAGAACTGGTGCCCCGACCAGGACTAGAACCCAGTGTGCCGGCGCCGCAGGCAGAGGATTAGCCTAGTGAGCCGCGGCGCCGGCCCTTGTGTACAATTTTTATGAATTTCTCTAGAAGATAATGAAAAAGCTTTTCTTTAAGTTGGAATGTTAAGTAATCATTGTGGAAGAAATGAAGGAATGAGAAATATCATTTTAAAAGATTCATAGTGCCAGTCCATTGAGGCAATCATCAGTAGGTGTGAGACCATCTGAATATCCAAAGTTGTAAATCCTAAATACTTAATGGGAGTATATATTTATTTATATAGTCTCAGATATCTTGCATTTATAGAAACCTGTTGCTTACAAATTTTTACTAATCATAAAGAGAAAAATGGTGGCCTTACATTGGGAGACTTGGAGGTACCACCTTAAATCGAGTGATTAAAGTTAACAGACCTCTGATCATGGGTTTTGCTGATAGCCTGTGCCTCCTGACCTGAGGCAGTTAGAGAAGGATACAGCATTATGTTTGTAGTACTAATCTCCAAAGTGTGAACCTGCATCCAAAAGAAACTCAAAGAAAAGATACTCCACAGAGTAAATGGCATGTGCTTTTTATTTATTTTATTTTTTTTTTATTTTTATTTTTTTGACAGGCAGAGTGGACAGTGAGAGAGAGAGAGAAAGGTCTTCCTTTTCCATTGGTTCACCCCCCAATGGCTGCTGTGGCCAGCGCACCGCGCTGATCCGAAGCCAGGAGCCAGGTGCTTCTCCTGGTCTCCCATGCAGGTGCAGGGCCCAAGGACTTTGGGCTATCTTCCACTGCACTCCCGGGCCACAGCAGAGAGCTGGACTGGAAGAGGAGCGACCGGGACAGAATCCGGCGCCTCGACCGGGACTAGAACCTGAGGTACCGGCGCCGCAGGCGCAGGATTAGCTTAGTGACCCGCGGCGCCGGCCGGCATGTGCTTTTTAAAGGTCAACATTTGAGCAACCTTACCATATTTAAGGAGACAAAAAAAAAAAAAAAAAAAAAAAAAAAAAAAAAAAAAAAAGACTTGATAAGTGAATGTAAGATGTGATCCTGAATTGAATGTGGGCCAGAAAAAAATTTCTGTGAAGAATATTATGGGCACAGTTGTCAAAATTAGAGTGAGGATTGTAGATTAGACATTTGTATTGTGTTCATGTCAACCTCTCTGATGTTGACAGTTGTACTGTGATCAAGTAAGGGAATCACTGTGTCTTAAGGAAATGATATGCTGACATATCTGGGATCTGGACCTTGTATCTGTGATGCATTTTGAGTGGTTCAGAAAATGTATCTTTTAAAATTTAAGATATAGAACAATAAAACAGTGTGGCAGAAGGTAGGCAATTAATAAATCTGGGTGAAACCATCTATTTTTTGCAGCTTTCCTGTAGTAGATTTGAAGTTTTTTTTTTGTTTGTTTTTGTTTTTTTGTTTTTTTTTTGTTTTTTTTTTTTTTTTAAAGGTCTTCCTGAGTTATACTTAGGAGTAGAATTGCTGGGCCTTGGGCTCTGAGTCTTTGAATTTACCAGACAGTGCCAAATTGTTTTCCAATATATGGCTCTACTGATTGTATTCCCATTGTTCTACATCTTCACCAATAGTTAATATATCAGGTTTAAAATTCTTATTAATCTTATGGGTAGCAGGTAGTATCTAAAGTGGTTTTAGTTTGCATTTCTCTTATTGGTGGCAGGTTGAACATCTTTTTGAATGTTTAGTCATTAAGATTTACTCTTATGAACTGCTTGCTATATTCTTGGCTATTTTTTTTTTTTTACTGACTTCTCTTTCTTACTTGCTTGTATATCTTAATATATTTTGAAAATTAATCATTTGTCAATTAGATGTATTGCAGTTACCCACATGTTTTTGAAAGATGCTTGACCAAAATATAAAATTGAGTATGTTTTATGTGAGTTACACAGAGTTAACTAGGCCAGAGGGCAGAGAAAATATTGCACATCAAGTGTGTAAGGGCCCGGGGACAGCTGCTTGCTGTTTATAGATCTCTTCTCTCTTGGCTCAGCCAAATAATATGAGGCAATTTGAACTTGCCTTCTTTACCCTGGCCCTTCTGAAAGGTTATTTTTACAACAGCTGTTCACTGTCTCTAGTGCATTTCATTCAGAGATTTATGGAATAGTTTGTTCTTCCTTGCCTTCTAGACTTAAAATTCTCCTTACTTGTATTGCTACATAATGAAACTCTTGCACTGCTAATTATACTTGGTTTGAGTAACCTGCTCTGAGTGCTACTACTGTGCCTATAGGGCAAGGGGGTAATTCAGTGGGTACAATATCTTGGGTCATCCACTAATACTAATTAAACTCTACAGAGTGAAGAATTAACCCACTTAGATTTGACTATCAAGTAAGATAACCTAATGATCATTCAACAAAAGAGAGTTCAAAGAAATCTCAAACCCAAAAATCACAGGATATTAGCCCTGTAAGGAAACCAAATGTTCCTAGTCTTTCAGGTCATAGAAGGACTCTGATCCTGGCACTGTGACTGTCCCCAGCAGAATTCACTTCCCATTCTAGGCCGTCTTTCCATTCTCCTCCAGTGACTCGTGCTGGTATTCCTAAACAAAACCCCAAAACTGAAAGATTGCAGCTCTTTCTGTTGATGCTCATGACCAGTTCTCCGGGGCATAGAAGATTCAGTACTCTCTGCTTTCCTCATTGATTTCCAAGTAGCTTGGAAAATGAGGAAATCAAAGGGGAACTTTTTTCAGAGAATTTCACATTTTAATCTTTACCATCGAGAGAGAATATTTTTCTTTGTAGCTTTATGTAGGCAGTACGTTCCTTTGTGAATTTGCGCAACCCAGAGGAAGCGATGGATGGGTAGTCATCACTGTGTATGTGTAGTTACTCTTTACTCTTTGAAGACCTTGTCACTTGTTATTCCTATTTAGTAGTTAGAACTAAGTGGTAGTAGTCACTTTTCAATTTATAAAAATTTCACTGCTTTTAAAAAAATCTTTGAGTCTTTTTAATGGAAAATAGATATCTGCATAGAAAGAAAACTAATCCTGTTGCTGAGGGATAACCACTTACTGTTTTCTAATTGATGTTTTTCATATGTATGTATATTTCATAGTTAACCTACAATTTCAAAGTCTTTTTTAATTTGATGTTAGAGTATTATTAATGGATGCATTAGCTCTCATTGCCTGGATCAGTTAAAATGAAGAATGCTGCAGTGAACACCCTAGCCTGCATTTCTGATTATTTTTCTGGGATTGGAATTATTGATCATCAATGAATCTATTTGTAGTCTTTTCATGCCAAACTGATTTTGACAAGTTGCTTCTAATTCCATACTCAGATAAACTGCATATGAATGATCACCCATATCATTTCCATCATTGAACTCTTATCATTAACCAAAAATGTTGTCAATTTGATAATGTAAAATCTAATCAGCTAATGCACATTTCTTTGATTACTAGTGAGAGAGTTTTGATATATTTATTAAGTATATTGCTTCTATGAATTTAGCTTATGAACTTTGCCTACTTTTTTGATAGGACTTTGGGTTTGGATTTGTTTCATTAAATAATTTTTGTGTATTAAAAACATTTGTGGGCTGGTGCCGCGCGGCTCACTAGGCTAATCCTCCGCCTTGCGGCGCCGGCACACTGGGTTCTAGTCCCGGTCAGGGCGCCGGATTCTGTCCCGGTTGCCCCTCTTCCAGGCCAGCTCTCTGCTGTGGCCAGGGAGTGCAGTGGAGGATGGCCCAAGTACTTGGGCCCTGCACCCACATGGGAGACCAGGATAAGTACCTGGCTCCTGCCATCGGATCAGCGTGGTACGCCGGCCACAGCACGCCGCCCGCAGCGGCAATTGGAGGGTGAACCAACGGAAAAGGAAGACTTTCTCTCTGTCTCTCTCTCTCTCACTGTCCACTCTGCCTGTCAAAAAAAAAAAAAAAAAATGTGGTTCATATCCTCCATTTGCTTGCTTTTTGACTGGTTTTGATTAAGGGAGGACAGAAGTCTATTTTTATACAGTCGAGCTATAAGTGGGGAGCATTTGTTTTATAAGTTCTTTGGCTACTGCTATGTAGGAAGGGAATCCAAACGACAGAGGTACCAAGATCCAGAAGTCCTCCATAATTCATTAGAATCATTGAGTGGAGGCCATTTTGTACAGACTCAGTGATTTCACCTCTTTCCCCTCCACAATTGCTTGTCTCTTGTTTCTGAATTCTGCTTGGAAACACCTATTACATTTATTTCCTTGTTTTTTATGTTCTACACAGTTAAAGTTGCTCTGTTGGTCCATTGTTGCTCTGTCCTATAGCATTTTCTCATGTCCTGATCCTTTCTTTTAAGGTATTATCCAAAGAGATGAGTCACCCATGGAGAAAGGGCTCTCTGGTCTGCGAGGAAGGGACTTTGAGCTCTCTGATGTGTTTTATTTCTCCAAGAAGGGGTTGGAAGCCATTGTGGAAGATGAAGTGACCCAGAGGTTCTCCTCAGAGGAGCTAGTGTCATGGAATCTCCTCACAAGAACCAACATAAATTTCCAGTACATCAGCCTGCGACTCACTATGGTGTGGGTGCTGGGTGTCTTAGTACGCTATTGTGTCCTACTGCCTCTGAGGTAAGGCACCTGCCTGATAATGTCATGTTGTAATTGGTTCAGCTTCCTTCTTAAATCATGTTTGTAATGCCCGCACAAGAGTGTTGTGGTACTAATTCTACCCCCTTCCAGCTAGGAAACACCACCACCTCTGCAGGAATATTTGAGCTATCCATTCTCCTTTCATGTTTTTTTTTTGGCCCAAGTGATTAGATACATTTAGAATCTGTATCTCCCAATTCACTTTACAATTACAGTAATAGATAATTTGAAAATGGATCAAAAAGGGAAGTTAGGAAAAAAGGAGAGATGTCTTACAGTATTGAGCTCATTAGAGGGTCAGCCCAACTCCAACAGCTGACCAGAAGCCATAGCTTCTCTTTGCGGGTCTGCAGCAGGTCATGGCTTCACAGGAGAGAAACTATGCCTGAGAGTAGTTGCTGCATGGAGAGGACCATTCAGAAGCGCCAGTTTGTTTCATTAAGACACTCACTTCTGTTAAATGTTCTCCATCTGGATCCTCTTGTGCCTCTGAGCTTGAGTGCTGCCCATACAGAGGCCACCTCAAGCCCAGTTTACTGGGAGCGCAGTGCACAACCTGAGTGCATGACACGGGGCAGAGGGATGAAGCTGCAGGTGGTCAAGACCTGTAAATTTAGCCTGGGGTGGCAGGGAATAGGCATGTGTGCCAGCCTCAACAGTGCCATGATCCTCTGGCTTTATTTTCCTGGCCGTGACCCTGGCATCCTCAACAGAGCTTTCCAGGCAGTTGCTACCAGTCAGCTAAAATTGGCACTTGGATTGAAACTGGTTAACATCCCTAGGGTGCCCAGTGCTTGCCTCATTCAGATGAATGACAAGTGAAAGCATTGCTTAAGTATAGGCAAATGCAGATCTCCAAAAAGTTCTTTCTCTTTTCTTATGCTCATATTGCCAGTGTTTTGACATTAAGGCAGCTATGTGTTTTGGGAATAATTTCAGCTGTGATGCCAAAGTGAAATTCAAGGTTTCATATCCACTTTTGCTTGAACCTTAGGCCAGTGCTCCCAAAGTAAGGTTCACGCACCCTGGAGATTTATGAGATTATCTATTGCTGTGTAGGAAGGAAGGATTAGGGCTTTTATTAAAAACTTCTGTTTACAATTACACCTTCTGTTTAATCTGTTTTTATTCTTAAAAAGAATGGATGGGGCTGGCATTGTGGCCTAACTGGTAAAGCCACCGAACCAGTATCCCGTATGGGCGCTGGTTCGAGTCTCAGCTGCTCCATTTCCAATCCAGCTCCCTGCTAATGCACCAGGGAAAGCAGCAGAAGATGTTCCAAGTGTCTGGGACCCTGCTGTCACGTGGGATCTATTTTATTTATTTGAAAGGCAGAGTTACTGAGAGAGACACAAAGAAAGATCTTCCATCTTCTGGTTCACTCTCCAAATGGCCAGAATGGCTGGGGCTGAGCCAGACTGAAGCCAGGAGTTAGGAGCTTCTTCCAGATCTCCCACGTACAGTGATGTAAGTACTTGGGCCATCTTCTGCTGCTTTCCCAGGCACATTAGCAGGGAGCTGATTGAAAGCAGAGTAGTCAGGACTTGAAGTTGCACCCACATGGAATACCTGCTGCATTACAGGTGGCAATCCCACCCTCTACACCACAACAGTGGCCCCTGTAAATGATTTGTTAAAAGAAATAATTGTTACAAAGTGAGAAATCTAAAAATGAGGCCATGTTAAAATTGATTGTGGTGATGGTTATATAACTCAATGAGTATGCTAGAAACTGCTGATTGTACACTTTCGATGGGTGAATTGTATGGTACGTAAATTGTATTTCAATAAAGCCTTTAAAAAGCAGATTGTAGTTGAAATGTCATATCTAAAGATATCTGAATTTAAACCTATGAAAATTCTTACATTGGCTTATTTAAACTGGTAAGCAGAATTTTCTGGCTTGTTAATGTAGTAAATTAAAAGTTTCAATGATTTTGAACACAGCTGTTAAACATGAGAAGCTGAAATGCCTTCTGATTTAACGGGCAAAAACAGGATTCTTATTAGGGCAAGTTGGAAAAGCATTCTGTAAAAACTTTTCCATAATTTATGTATGGGATTCAACAATGATTTAGTTATAACAGTGACTAAAATGTGGCATCTAAATATTCTAACTTTCAAATTGCTGTGTCAAAAGATATTAATTCAAGACTCAATAAGACTTAAACTTTAAGGCATTTATAGGGAAGCATATTTGACAAATTTTGCTCTCAAGATGTTACTAATTATATAATATGGTTATATAGTTATATAGGTGAAGAATATAATATGTAATTATATCTGGTATAAACTATTTGAGTGGGGGTACAAATTTGCAGTGTTAATGTATAAAATTTTTAAATGTCATTTTAAAAATATTTACAAAACATTTTTGCAGTCTTTATGTTAGCAGAATTTTTAAAGATGTATTTATATATTTGGAAGGCAGAGTTAGAAAGAGAAAGACACGGAGAGAGATATATAGAGAGAGATCTTCCATCCACTGTTTCACTCACTAAATGGCTGCAGTAGACAGGGCGGAGCCAGGCTGAATCCAGGAGCCAGCAACTCCATCTGGGTCTTCTACGTGGGTGGTGGGACTCCAACCTTGACGCCATCCCCCACTGACTCTCCAGGCACAGTAGCAGGAAGCTGGATCAGAAGCACAACAGCCAAGGCTCAAACTGGCCCTCCAATGTGGGATGCAGGTGTTGTAAGTGGCATCTCAACCCACTGCACCACAAAGCCAGCCCCTGAAGATGCTTTATTATGTGTATGAAACTAGTGTAGTGGTCTTTCTTATATAGCTAGCATAGTACTCTATAAAATAACTAGTATAGAATGGCTAGTAACTAATATAGTATGTCATTCTTAAACTCTTATACATAATAGGGACACTTGCTCAGATATGTTACTCTTGGGGTATTTCCTTAATTAGGTTGAGACCACTGCCCTAAGTTTTTCTATATTAAATAATTCTAAACTGCTATATTAAATGTTAATGATAATACAACTTTGCTGAAAGACAAAATGAACATACTGGCTAGGAGTGTGGATTCTGGAGCCAGATTGCCCGGGCCCAAATCCTGCCTCTGCAGCTTGTGGGCTATGTAGCCTGGCATAAGTTCTTTAACCTTGCAGTACCTCAGTTTCTTCATTTGTAGAGTGAAGAAGATGATGTTGTTGCCTCCTGGAGTTCGGGAATGGCTAAATGTATTAAATATAAGAACTTAGCATGTTGCCTGGCACATCTGTGGCATTAGCTGCTGTTTTACCATTGCCTGCTGTAGAATCTGAGGTTGAGTAAGATGAGCTATTTTGTGCTACATATGTCTGTTCAGCAGGTTCAGCAGGTAAAGATAGATGCAAGTCAGGAGAAAACCAGCTTAACCTGGAAAGTGTTACTGTGCCTGACCTTGGCCTCAGGCAGCGGCCATAGCTTCTCCAAATCTGCAGGGCTCTTTTGATAGTGGAGTTGGCTATGGAATAACCTCATGAATTCAGAAAAAGATGCTGTAGCTCTTCAGAGAACTAGAAGACCCAGAAAGGCTTCTGATTCCCTGTGGGAGGCTGATGTGAGAGACTAAGGCTTCTGCTATCTCTGTTAGAAAAAAGGATTTAAAAGTCATTAGTAGTAAAAATTGATTAAAGTGTTGATTTTTTCTTCCTTTTTAATTAAATCCCATTTATTTTGAAAGATTTTAAATGTCATCCTTTTCTTTCTGAGTAATTTGAATTCTAGTTACATTTCTAGAAATGACTATTTTGCTTTTGAAATGATTGGAGTGTATATTGAAAGTACTTTTTAGAAAGAAGAAAATCTCTGTGGAGATTAGGGGTTTTTGTCACACTTGTTGCTAACTTATGAGTTAATTTGAACCATGCAAAGAGACAAGAGTTAGATTTATTGAAAGATTCCCACATGGAGATAAATTTTGGTGCTTTTATTATGAAAGAGGTTTTAAATGTATTCTCTTAACCAGCCCTTTTATGACTTTATAGGTCAAACTTGACAGCTTTGTGAATGAATTTCCAGGTTTCTCCATGCATATATATATTGCTTACACATGTTTGTTTTTATTTTGTAAATGATACCATACTGTATAATCTGAAATTTTCTTAGCTTTTTGTTCTTGTATATTTTATAAGAACAGCTATTTTTCATTTTTTTAAAGATTTTATTTATTTATTTGAAAGGCCGAGTCGCAGAGAGAGAGAGATCTTCCATTCACTGGAAGTACTTGGGCCATCTTCTGCTGCTTTCCCAGGCACAACAGCTGGGAGCTGGATCAGAAGTGGGCTTGAAATTGCACCTAGATGAGATGCTGACGTTGCAGGCAGCTGCTTTACCCGGGGTGCTACAATGCCAGTCTGGCTTTTCCCTCTTAAAATGTATTGTGGGGCATTCTTCCACATCTGATTCTATAGATTTATTCAATCATTCTCCATAATGTGGATGTCTTATAACTTACTCACAGGTGCATTATTTGTGAACTTTTAGGTTATTTCCCTACTACTTGACACACTTTTGTGTTACCTTTTCTTTTCCTTTTAGGGTTACCTTGGCTTTTATTGGGATCAGTTTGCTGGTCATTGGAACTACGTTGGTTGGGCAGCTGCCAGACAGCAGGTGAAATCTTCTCTACAGGCAACCAAGGATAAGACTGCCCTTTCTCTTTTCCTCCCTTCCTCCCTTCCTCCCTTCCTCCCTTCCTCCCTTCCTCCCTTCCTCCCTTCCTCCCTTCCTCCCTTCCTCCCTTCCTCCCTTCCTCCCTTCCTCCCTCTTCCTCCCTCTTCCTCTCTTCCTCTCTTCCTCTCTTCCTCTCTTCCTCTCTTTCTCTCTTTCTCTCTTTCTCTCTTTCTTTCTCTCTCTCTCTCTCTCTCTCTTTCTCTCTCTCTTTTTTAATTTTACTTGAAAGGTATAGCTACAGACTGAGAGCGAGACAGAGAGAAAGGTCTTCCATCCACTGGTTCACTCCTCAGATGGCCACAGTTGCTAGAGGAGAGCCGAGCTGATCTGAAGCGAGGAGCCAGGAGCTTCCTCCAGGTCTCTTGCATGGGTGCAGGGGCCCAAGCACCTGGGCCATCTTCCACTGCTTTCCCAACCCATAGCAGAGAGCTGGATCGGAAGTAGAGCAGCCAGGATATGAACCGGCACCATATGGGGTGCCAGCACTGCAGGCAAAGGCTTAGCCTCTTCACCATAGCACTGGCCTCAGAACTGCCCTTTTTCCTAGCTGTGTCCACAGAGAATATTTGTTTGATTCCTATGTATTGCATTAGTTTATGTTCTGAGCCCACGTGCCAGAATTCTTATTTTTTTTTCAGTCTTTATTTGATTTCTCGTTATATCTCATATAAATTTAAAGAAGTTATTTTTTTCAAAAGATTAATGAAGAGAAGAAAGAAAATGGACTGAGGAGCCCACAGGGGAAGAAAATCGTTTAAGTTGGCAGGCTCATAAGGCCGAAACCAAAGCAACTTTGATCCGTCTTGGGAATTTATTGTGGTATTCTAGTAGGTTGGGGACTGTTCAGTTCTCTGGGTGAACTTTTACCATCTAAAACTAAATGAACTGATGAAACTCTTAAGAATGGAGCTGCGCTTGTTCAGTAGAATAGAATCCAGAAAGAGCACGTTGAAGCTTTTATTGTATCATTTCTCAGGAGCACCGAGAACCGTACAATAAAGTGTTTTCTTTTCCCTTCAGCCTCAAAAACTGGCTGAGTGAACTGGTGCATCTGACTTGCTGCCGGATCTGTGTGCGATCCCTTTCTGGTACCATTCATTATCATAACAAGTGAGTGTCTGCTGGCCTTGTGGCCACCGTTATCCCCGTAAATCCATGGGTGGGAGCAGGCGGCATCAGACTCCTCTGTGTTCATCTCTAGTTCTTTGAGTGTCCCAGACTTAACAGTTGGTAGACCGCCTAAAAAGTGGTCCGTCTGCAGTGGGAAGGGAAGTGTTGTAGTGCTCTGTGTGCGGGCCTGGTGCTGGGCTTCTCGTGCGTCATTCCTGTGGTCCCATTTTACAGGTGGAGAGGTGCAAGCTCTGGGATTGGTTGCTTCGGGAGTGAGTGAGTGGGAGGGGCAGGTTTTGACTTTTAGAGTGATGTGGTGGAAAGACTTGGAGTCTAGTCTCAATCCTGCCACTTGCAAAATTCTACAACCGAGTCCTAAAACAAAGGATGAAGTCGTGCTTTCCTCACCCCTGATAACAGAGGAGAAAGGCTTCTGAGGAAAATTGTTGGCTAAGTGGAAGAGATTTTTTGAAAAGTACTTTCTGTTTTATTTGAAAGGCAGAGAGACAGAGACAGACACAGAGAGATTGTCCGCCTGCTGGGTCACTGCCTGCACGCCCACCCACAAGAGCACAAGTGGGTGGCAAGGACACAAGTACTTGAGCCATCACCCCCTGCCTCCCAGGGTATGCATTAGGGGGAAGCTGGAGAAGAAGTGAAGCGGGGGCTTGAACGAAGGACTCCAGAGTGGGGCACGGGTGTCCCAAGTGGCCTCTTCAACTGCTGCCCCGAAAGTGGCTTCATTGCCTTTGGGTGCAGGGGCCCAAGGACTTGGGCCATCCTCCACTGCTTTCCCAGGCCACAGCATAGAACTGGATCAGAAGTAAAGCAGCTGGGACTTGAACCGGCGCCCGTATGGGATGTCAGCACTGCAGGCAGCGGTTTTACCTGCTACACCACAGCGCTGGCCCTAATAAATGATATTTTTAAAAAGTAAAATGAGTCTCTACATGTTGTCCTGCCAAATAGTGGCCACTGTTTCAGGTTTAATGTTTCCTGTTGTTTGTATTTACAGGCAGTACAGACCCCAGAAGGGTGGCATTTGTGTTGCGAACCACACCTCCCCAATAGATGTTTTGATCTTGACGACAGATGGATGTTATGCCATGGTAAGATCCTTCAGTAGCTGTGTGTTCTGTGATTGCTCAAGCTATTTTGGCACAAACTAGGAAGTTGGTTTTACTTCAGCTATTTGGGTTTTACTATTGTAGCTATATGTTATTTATTTGCATCAAGGAAATATAGTGTAAGAAAAGTAAATGGTTATTATATTTAAGATAGTAGGAAATTTGCTTACTGAGATACAGACACCCTTGCAGTTCGTTTGATTGTGAAGTTGATTGTGTTTTTCTTCAAAAATCAACACACTTTGCAACATTGAGGTCTTCCTCCTTAGAGTGGTACAGTTCCCCTAACCAGCCAATTAGTTCTCCCCTCCTTCAGGAACTTAAATACAATTAGTTTATCTGGCTTTTCAGTGAGGATCTAGCAAGAAAGGCAAATATTTATACCATGTTGTCTTTCTCAATCTCTGTCTATAATCACACAAGAAAAGAAAACAGAACCCAACCACAAACCACGAAGCCCACAGTAAAGCTAAGCACTTGAGACCATCATGTCCCAAGGATGAACAGGAACCACATTCTGGCATTTCTCAAATCTGGGTTTTCTGTTACCCTTAAAAATGTGTCAGGATTTCCTGCATCTCCTTCACGGATCAGGTAAAGTCTGCAGGATAACTGACTGGACGGGGTTCATATTCCTATGGTGGTGACTTGGGCTTCAGAGAGCAGATGAGTTTTATTTATTTACCAGCGCCAGGGATAGGTCTGGGGTGCTTTTCTGGGATGGCGTTAGAATGGAGCCACTGTTGAGTATGTGCTGTGGATTGGAGAATGGGAGTACTGATAATTTTGTGTTTAACGGTCCAACCTTTGTGAAAGTTCCTGTTTATTGCCATATATTTTAATCTGTCCAAAATATAAGTTCAGGTATATAATTCTTGGACATCTGCCTTTTAGCACATTATCAAATTTCTCTGAATAATAGGATTTTTTCTGAATCTAAGAAAACTTTTACCACTTTATGAAAACACTTAATCTTTTTAAGATTGGGTATCAGTTGTGTATTTTTATGTTTAGTTATGTATTTTATGTTATGTTTAGAAAAAACAACATAGATGTGTATCATACAAACAACAATTGTGAATATAATTTTAAAGTGTTGATGGATCCCTTAAAGAGCATCCAAGGACTTGCTTGTTAAAAAATGTCAATAGGCCCGCTGCACACTTCTGCAGATATGTAATAATCCTTTTATTTAGGTAGACAAACAGTTTCATTTACATTATATTTGACTTTTTTCATAATCCAAAGAAGCTAGGGCTATTTTGGATAAGATTTTATTATAGATTAAAAAGTAGAGACTCGAGCAATTAACCTGCCTGTCCCTGTCTGTTTTGTGTTGCTCTAACAATACCACAGACGTAATTTATAGCAACCAGCAATTTATTGGCTCATATTCCTGGAGGCTCGGGACTCTAACATCAAGGCCTGGCATCTGATGAGGGTCGTCTTGCTGTACATCATCATGGCAAGTGGAAGGTCAAAGGAACAAGAGCATTAGAGAGCAGTTCCCACCTCCCAACACTGTCACATTGGAGACGAAGATTCTAGTACATGAATTCTGGCTGCCATATCCAGCCCATAGCACTGCTTAATTGTGATCTTGTGTTTCTGGGGCCATACGTGCATTCTGTGTCCTGGTCAACAAAGAGTTGAAACCCATTTATGATGGAGGGCCTCAGAGGTTTGTTGTCATTGTCCGTGCTTTTTGATAACATAGAACTGCACCATCAATATTAGCCACAGTTTGGAAAAGCACGGTAACTGCAAGCTGTTTAATGAGTTAAGCAGTAAAGGTCTAAAGTTTGTACTTAAATTGACGTGGTGCTGGTGAGAAGTGGGAGGAAACTATACAGACTTCCTCTAGAGGTTGTAACTGGATTATTCCTCTGAAGAACATTAAAGATCTCTTTTTTCAATGACTTTTTTTAAAAAAGAAGAATTTATTTTTAATTAGCAACTAAAAATTGTGTATATATGCAACATGATATTTTGACAGCTATACACATTATGGAATGACTAAAGGAATATCATACCAATTACCTCACTCAGTGACTTTTCTGCAGTCTTCTTTTTCCTCCTAGACAGAGATCTCTACTATTTTTAAAATTAAGAAATAGTTTCAAGCCTTACAAAAGAGTTGTAATAATAATAATATCACTTAGGATTCCATTTACCCTTTATTCACATTTATCTCGGTAACATTTTGCCTCATTTACATTATCATTTGTATTCTGATATACTGGCTCTCTGTCCACAAAAAAGTGTACATATTTTCATTTTTAGTGTATATGACACTTATTTCTAGTATTTATGTTGGAAATCTGAATCTATACAAATATATCCACTTCATAAGGTTCTTTCTTGCTCTCACCCAACATTATTAACGTATTTACTCATTCTTTTCTAAAAAGTTTTATAATGTATTTATTTCCATTTTATTTGAAAGACATAGAGACACGGAGAGTGGGTTGCATACAGAGAAAGATTTCCATGTTTTGGTTCACTCTCTCAGTGTCCACAACAGCCAGGGCTGGGCCAGGCTGAAGCCAGGAGCCTAGAAATCAATCTGGGTTTCCCACATAGGTGGCAGGGACCCAAGTACTTTTTGGAGCCATCATCTGCTGCCTGTACATTATCAGGAAGCTGGAATCAGAAGCAGAGTTGGGACTTAAACCATATACTCCCATTAAGGGATGTGGGTGTCCCAAATGTGTCTTAGCTGCTGCGCCAAAGGTCAATCATAATAGGTTAAGCCTCCTCCTACAGTGCTGGCATCCCATGTGGGCACTGGTTCAAGACCCAGCTGCTCTACTTATGATCTAGCACTCTACTATGGCCTGGGAAAACAGTAGAAGTTCTTGGGCCCCTGAACCCATGTGGGAGACCTGGAGAAAGCTCCTGGTTTCAGATTGGCCTAGCTCCAGCCATTGCAGCCATTTGGGGAGTGAACCATTGAATAGGAAACCTCTCTCTCTCTCTGCCTCTCCTCTCTATGGAACTCTGTCTTTCAAAGAAATAAATAAATCTTTAAAAAAAAAAAAGTCAGCCTCTCCTTTTCTTTTCCTTTCTTTTCTTCTCCTTTCCTTTCCTTTCTTTCCTTTCTTTCTTTCCTTTCTTTCTCAGGCAGAGTTAGTGAGAGAGACAGAGAGAGAAAGGTCTTCCTTCCATTGGTTCACCCCCCAAATGGCCTCTACGGCTGGCGCACTGCGCCGATCTGAAGCTAGGAGCCAGGTGCTTCTTCCTGGTCTCCCATGCAGGCGCAGGACCCAAGCACTTGGGACATCCTCCACTGCCTTCCCGGGCCACAGCAGAGAGCTGGACTGGAGGAGGAACAACCGGGACTAGAACCCAGGGTGCCGGCACCACAGGCGGAGGATTAGTCTAGTGAGCCGTGGCACCAGCCCCAGCCTCTATTTTCTGAATCATGAAATGCAAGAGTACCACAAGTTTGTGGAGAAATGGAATGAAGGGTAAGTTTATTTTGGTGCAAAAGACTTTTGAAAACCATGCATGATTTTTTCATAATACGCATTTTCCAAGAATTTTTGAAGACCTTTTGTACATCTAAAATTGCTTCAGAATTGCTTCACCTGTAGTTCTACAACCGAAGCAAAGCAAATCAAGCCAGAAAACCACTCATAGGGAATAGGGTTCAAGATGTTTTGTAGTTCTTATTATCCAACCCTAATGGAAGATTTGTCATCAAATCATGTTTCTTTTTTTTTTTTCTTTAAAGTTCCTTGAATTTGCTCCAATTTTCAAGATTGTTCTTTTATTCATTTGAAATATGGTCAGATTTGTTTGTTTCAGTTTGCTTTCAGTTTATTATTATGTCCTTATTGTTAACATTTTATTATTTTTTTAATGTGTAGAGTATTCAGATGTCAAAGTAAAATGAAAAAGGTATACTCACCTAAGTGTCACTTCTTCCATGTTCATTCCACCCCATTCCTTTCTGTTCTTGTAGGTTTCCAACTTGATGGGTTTTGGGTATCCTTTTAGTATCTCTTATAGAGAGAAATAAATATGTATATGTTATTTCCCCTTTCATTGTACACAGAGTCTGTCATACCATACTTGTTGTTTGCCTTTTCATTTATCTTTGTCTCCTGGAAATCACTCCTTATCAGTCATAGAGATCAACCCTGCCCTTCCCCCAATTGTATGGTACTCCATTATAAGTATGTGCTGTTGTTTATTCATTTACTTTCCTATATTTGGACATTTGGATAGTTTTCAGTCTTTCACAGTAATAATGCTTCATTAATATCCTTGTGCATATGTGTTTTGATTTTGTTGGAGGTATATCTTCAGGGTGAATTCCTTGAAGAAGAATTATTTATTTCAAAAGATTTATTTATTTATTTGAAAGTCAGTGTTACAGATAGAGAGAGAGAGGGAGAGACAGAAAGACAGAGCCTCCATCCGCTGGTTCACTCCCCAAATGGCTGCAATGGCCAGGGCTGGGCCAAGCCGAAGCCAGGAGCCAGGAGTTTCTTTCGGGTCTCCCACATGATTGCAGGGCCCAAGCGCTTGGACCATCTTCTACTGCTTTTCCAGGCACATTAGCAGGGAGCTGAATTAGAAGTGGAACAGCCGGGACTAGAACCAGTGCCCATAGGGGATGCCAGCACTGCAGATAGAGGCTTAACCTAAGCCACAGTACCAGCCCGGAAGAGGAATTATTGATATGATATATACATGTATTTGTTGTTTTGACAGATGTTCCCCAGTTTCCTTTCTGTGCTGTTGTAAACTTCTCTTTTTTTCCTTCCAAGCAATGTGTAAGAGTGTTTCAAGTTCTTTAATCAGACTAAGAACTTCAGTAGGCAGAAGGCAACCAGCCTTGTCTCTGAGTCGGGGCCAGGAATTTATCGGTACCTTTGAAAGAAGCTTTCCTTGAGCAGCTTTGCCTTTAAATTCTTCTCATGGTCCTTCTAGGTTGGCCAGGTTCATGGTGGATTGATGGGAATTATTCAGAGAGCTATGGTGAAGGCTTGTCCCCACGTCTGGTTTGAACGCTCGGAAATGAAGGACCGACATCTGGTTACTAAGAGGTAAGCGGGGAGTTTCCTGCATATTTATTAGGGTAGCATAAAAGCCTACAAATCTGGACTTCCCTTCCAAAGAGGGTAGAGCAGGAGTACAAGTCAAAATTAAGACATACAGTGCTCTTTGTAGTTGGATTCCTCTGGCGAATCACTTGTCTCAGCAAGATTTTTAAATATGTAGTGGCATAGTCAAAGTGGAATAGGTGTTGGGATTGGAAGGCTCATCCATCTGTATTGCTTTTTTTTCTTCTGTAGGTCAGTTGCTGAAGTTTTAAAGTTAAAAATTACTACCTTTGACAGTTAAATAATTGATAGCTGTTTGCAGAATAGATGATTGATTGTTCGCTACTATTATCACTTGATCCGGCCTAGACTAGCTGTCGACCCTAATGGAATGGGAGAAGGAACCTCTGGGGTTTGGTGTAGAAATGAGTTATCAGCGACCTTTGTTGGGAAGCAGATTTTTGCCTGGGACTTTAAGTGAAGGTGCTCTGGTCATTGCTCCTGTGAACACGAGAGTGGCTCATGCTCTTAGCAAAAATTGTTTGAAAGAGAAAGTGATAGATACCTCATCTGCTGGTTAGCTCCTCAAATATCTGCAATGGCTAGGGCTGGGCCAGTGCCTGTGGCTGGGAACATAATCCAAGTCTTCCAAATGGGTCATAGGAACCGATTACTTAAGCCATCATCACTGCTTCCCAGGGTCTGCATTAGCAGGAAGCTAGAGTCAGGAGCCAGAGCTGAGAAGCAAACCCAGGTACCCCCATGTGGGATGTGGGCATCTTAGCCACTAGGTAAGTGCTTGTCGCTGGCCCATGCTCTTTGGAAAGTATCTTTTGAAATTTGCTTCAGGTTGGAAAAAAGATTCCCCATCTTTAGATTACTTAGCAACTCTGGCAGCTGGGATCTCTCTAACTCAGATGCTTCTGATGAGCAGGGTTGGGAATACAGGGCCAGCTGCAGGGAGAACAGGGCCGAGGTCTACAGGAACATCAGTCATGCTCACCATTCTCTGGGCTGTGTATTTCATAGGAAAGTGCAGCATGGCTCCTTTAAGAAGTCATCTTCTTAAAGACCACAATGCAGACAGACCCAGCAATCCGTAGTCCCATTCTTCAGATGAGGAATGAGAAGGACATGGAGAAGGGTACAAAGCTCCTGAAACACGGACTCCAAAGCTCTTGTCATATGACCAACTGATACGCTTTCTAGGGAGTAGACAGCAGCATTGAAAATCACTCACCATGAAAGTATCGAAAAGGAAATAATACAGATCTCTGTATATATTTGGAAAGAGAATATCTTGCATTTATTTCCTTGCTGCTTTACAATCATGTTTGTGCTGGTAGGGTGGAAAGGACCTCATAATGACTCAAGCCTCTGTCTTTCTAAAGGTGAAATTTTGATTATTTTTATTCACAGATTAAAAGAACATATTGCGGACAAGAAAAAATTACCCATATTAATCTTTCCTGAAGGTAAGAACAGGGATTGCCTACTAAGCTGTGGTTGATGAAAAATAAAATTGTCCTAGGATTGGGATTCTTAGTCCTGACCAATCTCTGCTGTCTTTGCGGAATGGATTTCCTTCTTTCCTTTGAGATTTAGTTCAAGTTATGGAACCTTTTTTATTTAATATTTTTTTATTTTAATTTTATTAAATAATTTTATTTATTTTATTCTTATTAAATTTATTTATTTGAAAGACAGAGTTACAGAGAGAGAGAGGTCTTCCATCCACTGGTTCACTCCCCAAATGACCACAACGTCCAGAGCTGTGCCAGTCTGAAGCCAGGAACCAGGAGCTTCTTCTGGGTCTCCCAAGAGGGTGTAGGGGCCCAAGCACTTGGGCCGTCTTCTACTGTTTCCCAGGCCATAGCTGAGAGCTGGGTCAGAAGTGGAGCACCTGGGTCTGAACCGGCGTCCATATTTGGCTGCTGGCACTGCAGGCTGGGGCTTTAACCCACTGCACCATACTGTTGGCCCCACCTTTTTGATTTTAGAAGTCAATTCTTGGTAGTGATCTAAGAAATTGTGCATGAGTTTTTAAAGATCTTACTTTATTAATTCAAGAGGGAGGGAGGGAGGGAGAGAGAAAAAAAAAAAAAAGAAAGAGTTAGAGCTCCCATCTGTTGATTCACTCTTCAAAAATCTGCGATCACCTCTGGGTGTGGCCAAAACCAGGGACCAGGAGCTCAATGAAGGTCTCCCACGTGGGTGGCAGGGGCCCATCTTGGGCCATCACCTGCTGCCTGCCAGAATGCACATTAGCAGGAAGCTGGAATTGGGAGCAGAACCCAGGCACACTGATATGGAATTTGGGCAGCCCAACGAGCTTCTTAACCACTAGACCAAATACCACTAAGGGCTGTATTTTAAAAATATTGAAATTGTAACCTGTGAAGAAGTTGTACCTGTATAGTGTTTAATAATAAAGCAAAATTTTGTTATTAACACTGCTTAGAACTGTCAAGTGAGTACTTAAGCAGGATTTGATTTGTGAACCAGTAGTAAAATGCATGTAATTTTCATATTTTAAATTGTTTTGTATCAAAATCATTCCTTTTAAAATGTCCTTTAAAAAAAATTGACTGCCCTTAAAAATATCCACTCACCTACTTCCATCCCACTACAGGAACCTGCATCAATAATACTTCAGTGATGATGTTTAAAAAGGGAAGCTTTGAAATTGGAGGAACCATCCACCCAGTTGCCATAAAGGTAAACAGCAGTAGCAGCAGCAGCAACAAAGGCACTGGCTTGGTACCTTTCCTCTGATACAGATTTTAGGTTTGAAACTGTAAGGGTGAGAAACACTTGTATCCGCTTGACTCAGATTCAGTGATTGCTATATCCTGCTCCATCTGCTTTCTTCTGTCTCTATTTATCTGTGCATGGATATGCACTGAGGGACTGTGTGCATTGTACTGAACATGAAGGATATGGCAGAAACAAAACAGATACTGTCCCTACTGTCATCCACTTTCCAGGTAGTGGGGACAGATACTGAATAGTCCTGTACCAACCCTCTTATTACGGTGCTCTGGGGTCCTAGTTAGAAAAACAGTTGGCTCTGGTTGGAGGAGTTACCTTGCCTCAGTTACCTTTTTTGATCAATTCTGTCAGGTGAACTAACTTTCTCTCTCTCTCACAAAGATTAATTAATTTATTTGAGAGGCTGAGTTACAGGGAAGAAGGGAGAGACAGAGAGACAGATCTTCGGTCCACTGGATCACTCCACAAATGGGAGCAACAGCCAGGGCTGGGCTAGGCTGAAGCCAGGAGCCCGGGACTCTGTCTGGGTCTTGCATGTGGGTGGCAAGGGGGGCTCAAGTACTTGAACCATCTTCTGCTACTTTCTCAGGTACATTATCAGGGAGCTGGATCTAAAGTGGAGCAGCTGGGACTTGAACTTGTGCCCATGTGGGATGCTGGCATTGCAGGTGGTAGCTCAACCTGCTGTGCCACAATGCTGGTCCCAGTAACTTTTTTTGAGGTCTGATGGAAGTATTTGTGTCCAACCACCATAGCAGCACTGACATGGGTAAGAGAAACAATGACTTAGTTTCTAACTGGATTGTATTTTCTTTTCTTTGTTCTCAGTATAACCCTCAGTTTGGAGATGCATTTTGGAATAGCAGTAAATACAATATGGTGAGCTACCTGCTTCGAATGATGACCAGCTGGGCCATCGTCTGCGACGTGTGGTACATGCCTCCCATGACCAGAGAGGTATTCCTTAGATAAAAGCTGCTCTTTGCTTTATCTAATCAAATAACGGCTAGAAAACCCTTTTTTGTGAAAAAGAAAAAAGAAAAGAAAAATTTATTTGTTTTGAAAGAGTTACAGAGCGAGAGGGAGAGACAGAAATCTTCCATCTACTGGTTCATTCCCTAGATGGCAACACCTGCCAGCATCGGGCCAAGCTGAATCCAGGAGCCGGGAGTTTCATCCGGGTCTCCCACGTGGGTGGCAGGCCCAAACACTTGAGCTATCTTCTGCTGCTTTTCCCAGGCCATTAGCAAGGAGCTGGATCAGAAGTGGAGCAGCAGAGACACATATGGGATGCCACTGTTGCAGGTGACGGCTTTGCCTGCTATGCCCCAGCTCCAGCCCTGGCTAGAAAACGTTTATCTGAAAACTAGGTGGCTCCTTTAGTACATCATGCCTTTCTGCTTTTTCAGCAGGTAAGTCACTTTTTAAGAACGTAACTAAGCAGTCTTCAAATCAGGCCATTTTGTGTTCAGATTCTTTTCCATAATAGCTTCATAATTGCTATAGGCTTATAGAACCTGCAGACAGTGTAGAATCATTGAGTAAAACTGATAAAGAGTTGGGGCCAGCACGGTGGTGTAGCAGATAAAGACCTCGCCTGTGATGCTGGCATCCTGTATGGGCACCAGTTTGAGTCCCAGCTACTCCGCTCCTGATCCAGCTCTCTGTTAATGGCCTGGGAAAGCAATGCACGCATGTAGGAGACCCAGAAGCAGCTTCTGGCCCAGTCAACTGGGGAATAAATCAACAGATGGAATCTCTCTCTTTCTGTCTGTCTCTCCCTGTCTCTCTGTAATTATGACTTTCAAATAAATAAATTAATCTTAAAAAAACTAATACATAATGAATATGTACACATGATAAATACAGCAGTGAGTTTGCCTGATAGAACAGATATTTGCTATGATTGAGCTAAATGTGAATTTATATCTTCAGACAAACATGAATGATGACAAGTGAATCTTAAGTTATTATTTATACACTGTACACCCAGGATGAACTTGTAATTCTTGTTGTTTTTGATTAGGAAGGAGAAGATGCAGTTCAGTTTGCGAATAGGGTGAAGTCTGCTATTGCTGTACAAGGAGGGCTGACTGAACTACCCTGGTAAGAGATTTTTCAGAAGTACTATCACTTGTTTTTTTTTAATGAAAAATTCCCCACCATTAACAATGTCATCTGTTATGCTATGCATTTAGCTGAATGTGACAATGTTTTATAGGAAACAGCAGTGGCTTAAATAAGAAAGAAATTCTGTCTCACTCAAGCATTGACAGTTCAGGCTGGTATAGGTGCTGTTTTGCTGTGCTGCCCTCAGTATGTATATCTACTTTATGGTCCTAAATGGCTCCTCCAGCTCTACCTAGTGTGTACAGCAAATGACTAGCAGAAGAAAATGAAAAAACTATCTGCCCAGTTCTATAAGAACACGTGCCACTTGAACTCATGTCCATGGGCTAAAACTGTGTTGTGTGAATAACAGTTCAGTGGAGGAGGCTGGCACCGTAGTCCTTGCTCCTGGTGGCTGTGTGCCTAGCTAAACTTTAGGGCTGTATTATTGAAGAAGAAATGGAGAATAGTTTTGATGGTAGGGTAGGACCAGAAGGCAACCAAGGCTCATTTGTATTTAACTCTAGCTGTAAATATTTTAAAGAAAAAGGAGTAAAAATTGAAGATTTCAGTTATGAGTAATATGGTTTTGGTGTTTGTTTCCTCCTCTTACACACAGCTGCCTTTCTGTGTGCTCACCTGTATGCCTTGTACATGCATGGACAGGTGGCAAGGACACTGACCCCATTGTACCGGCCCCACTTCAGGACCTCCTCCCACCCTAACTGTACATGTCCAAGTACCTGGGAGCCAGGGCTTCCACCCAGACATTCTGAGGGGATGCACACATTCCGTCTGTAACAGGGACAGTTACTTGCACATGTGTTAAGATGGGAGATCAAGTTCTTAAACACAGACAGTGTAGCACCAAGCTGTTATAAAACAGTTTTTTGTTTGTTTTTTTTTTTCCCCCCCAAATCCTATAAGCTCACTAAGATCCCTGTTGTCTTTTTCAGTGTGTTTCATCTTGTTATTTCTTCTTTCAAAAAAAAAAACTTCACCTGGAAAGTTCATTGAGACCATCGTAGCAATGTTCCAGGAGCAGAATTTAGCTAAGTCAGGCTGGGTGCCCTTGACACCAGTGGGATGGCCCGGGGCTGTTCAGGGAGTGAGCTGTTTGGTTCCTGTATTCCTTTAGGCAGTGGTGGGCCACATCACTAAAATCGTTTACACATTCCTTGAAAACAACAAATTTCACCCAGGAAAGCCTGTTTCTGGCATTCGTTAACACTAATTAGAAGCTATTAATTTCTACAGTGAAAACTGTTTCTGAAATTCATTATGCTAACTAACAAAGCCTGGGAAGTTGAGAGCCCCCCCCCAAAAGGCTTCTAAAGCCTTGTAGTGGCACCCCTGGAGGGTGGCCTTCTGATTGGGCACTGGCTGACTGTGTGGGAGGTCAGGGGTACTGTGTGAGTTCTTGACTTAGGACATCTGTCTAGCCCTAACGTATACAATAAGACTAACATTGGTAAGCTGGGATACATTAAATCAAATGACAAGCCACATAACATCCTAAAATTACAAGCTTCCCTTAGCCTGCAAATGTCCTATTGATTCATTTTCCTACATGTAACTGGTTTCCTCTACCTGGTTAATTTTTTTTAAAGATTTTATTTATTTATTTGAGAGAGACAGTTGCGGATAGAGAGAGAGACAGAAAGAAAAGTTTTCTATTCACTGGTTCATCCCCAAATGGCCACAATGGCCAGAGCTAGGTCAGGTTGAAGGCAGGAACCTGGAACTCCATCTGGGCCTCCCAGATGGGTAACAGTGGCTCAAGCACTTGGAACATCTGCTGCTGCTTTTGCAGGTGCGTTATCAGGGAGCTGGATTGGAAGTGGAGCGGCTGAGACTCAAACCCTCACTCATATGGAGTGTCAGTGTCACAGGCAGCAGCTTAACCTGCTGTACCACAGCCCTAGCTCCTTAGTTTCCTTCTTTTTTTTTTTTTTTTTTAAAGGAAAATCATCCCACTACTTTTCTAGATATATGCGTCATCTACCTGTTGGACATGAATTAGCATGGCTGGAAAGATTTTTTTTTTAAAAATGATGAATTAATTGTTTGATCGTAAAGTGGCTCTTAGATATAAGTTCCTTAAGATCTGCTGCTAGTGCAAAGGGGTGTTGGGTAAAATGTTGACATCTGTGGAGGTGGCAAGGCACAGTTGGGGTGTTTAGACCAGCAAGAGGTTTGCTGAGTGCTTGGGAAGAATTGTACACAACTGGTGTCAAGATGCTCAAAGACAAAAGCAAAACGAAAGCTTCTAGCTTACGGTGTTCGCCTGCTCTTGACCTGGACTCAGGAAATGAGAAAGGCCTTTCTTGTCTCGCCCTCCCTTCCTTCCTTAGTTCTCAGTGTTCAGGATTCATGTCTGCGCAATCCATAGCTTGAAGTATCTCATTTGGACAAAAGAGGCTGGTGTGGATAATTCCTGGGACCTGATAACAATTTGTGATCTTGTTTCATGAACTCTTCCCACAGCTGAGTCCCTGGATAATTTGTATCTACAGTCTTTTTTTTTTTTTTAAAGGTTTATGTATTTATTTATTTGAAAGGCAGTGTGTGTGTGTGTGTGTGTGTGTGTGTGTGTGAGAGAGAGAGAGAGAGAGAGAGAGAGAGAGAGAGAGAGAGAGAAAATCACCCATCCTCCACTGGTTCACTCTCCAAATGACCACAGTGGCCAGAGCTATGCCAATACAAAGCCAGGAGCCAGGAGCTGCTCCTTCTGGGGGCCTCCCACGTGGGTGCAGGGGACCAAGCACTTGGGCCATCTTTTACTGCTTTCCCAGGTGCATTAGCAGGGAACTGGATTGGAAGTAGAGCAGCCAGGACTTGAATGGTGTCCATATGGGATGCCAACACTGCTTTACCCACTATGCCACAGTTTTAGCCTCAGTCTTTTTTTTCCTTTTCTTTTTATTTCTTCTACTGAGGGTTGTGCTGGGTCTGACTGTGTAGAAACAGAACACTGTGTTGATCTCAGGCAGGCATCTGTATTGAGGTCAGGTTCTGTCCTTATGGCACTGAGTTCACTGGCTAACCTGTGATCATTCATCATCATCAGAAAGGACTTGGTAAACATTCACGCTGAACTGGGTTAAAATTAAACAGTCACAGTATAAGGTAAGCGTTCTCCTAGGAGTTATAATCTAAGGAGGGAGATAGTGGCCCCTGCTAGTTCAGTCTCCTCCCGGCTCCTCCTGTTGCTTTGTTTGTGTCATCCAAAGAAGGAAAGGCACGTGGAGTCCTTGTAACGCAGGCGGGTCTGTGTTTTCACCACCCCTGAGAGTTCAAAGATTGATGTGCTCTGAATGGAGGAATGCTGCTTACAAAGGCACTGACTTCTGGTTCAATGCAATTTATGATTTTGCTGTTTGCTTTATTCTGTTTTGGGATCTAAATACTTGAAATTTGTGCTTTGAACTAACACACGCCATGTTAGGGTTTGATTTGAATAATGATTAACCCGTTCATCTTTAGGAAATTCACCCACACATTTAAAGGCCCTCCATTTTTTTTTTTTTTTTTAAAGATTTATGTACTAGGGGCAGAGGCAGAGAGAGAGAGGTCTGTCTTCCATCTGCTGGTTCATGCCCTAGATGGCTGCAACAGCCGGAGCTGCACTGTTGAGAAGCCAGGAACCAGGAGCTTCTTCCGGGTTTCCCGCAAGGGTGCAGGGGCCCAAGGACTTGGGCCATCTTCTGCTGCTTTCCCAGGCCATAGCAGAGAGCTGGATCGGAAATGGAGCAGCCAGGACTCAAACTGGCACCCATATGGGATGCTGACACTGCAGGAGGCAGCTTTATCTGCTACACCACAATGCCGGCCCCCATGTGAGTTTTAGTTAAGACAGAGGTAGATGAACAAACAAAATGGGGGCCTGCACTATGGCATAGCCCGTAATGCCGCCACCTGCAGTGCTGGCATCCCATATGGGCACCAGTTCGAGTCCCGGCTGCTGTACTTTCAACCTGGCTTTCTACTATTGCCTGGAAGAACAGTGGAAGATGGCCCAAGTCCTTGGGCCCCTATACCAACATGGGAGATGCAGAAGAAGCTCCTAGTTCCTGGCTTTGCATCGGCATAGTTCTGGCTGTTGCAGCCAATTGGGGAGTGAACCAGCAGATGGAAGACCTCTCTCTGCCTCTCCTTCTCTCTCTGTGTAATTCTGCCTTCAAATAAATAAATAAATCTTTAAAACAAACAAACAAAAATGGTGCTTTGTTTTCCTAGAGGAAAAAACACAAGAAAACAGTCCTAGTTTTAATAATCCAAGTTTAAATACAAGTATCAAAGACAGTTTCTAAAAAGAAACGGAATAGAGATGTTATTCCTTATGTTAACCAAGCATTAGAGAGATTATTCCTTCCTCACAGTAACACACACTGGATGGGTGGTAGAATGAGACTGAAATCTGTCTTCCTGCTTCCAAACCCAGTGTTATTTGGCACACTGTTGACCAGCTGTGGAAGCATCATGGCACTGTGCAGTATGTGTTAATAAGGAACCCTTAGGCATCTGTGCTGGGGAGGACGTCTTATACCTTGGCCTTTCTCTTCCCAGGGATGGAGGTCTGAAGAGAGGAAAGGTGAAGGACACCTTTAAGGAAGAACAGCAGAAGAATTACAGCAAGATGATCGTGGGCAACGGGTCTCTCAACTCAGAGTCGGACTGATGACCCCTTGTAGAAAATCCTGGCTTCCCAGAGAACTTTCTTTAGAAATGGAATGGGTTTTGGGGGGCAGGGTATTTTGTTTTGTTTTGCTGTTTTTAAAAAGTTGTCAATCTTTTCTACAGGATGATTGTTTCTACCTCTTTATGCCAGAGGCAGAACCTACAGGTGCCCTTTTGGCTTTCAATGTTGTTATAGCAATAGCCCCATGAACTAACTGTTAGGTAGTTTACAGAGTTAAAGTTTTGTCTTTTGTAAAATGATTGAATCATCATTGATTGAACAAAATATTTATGCAGGAAAAAGTGCTTTTGAAGCGTGTTTGGTACTTGTTGATATGATAATCTCGAAAAATACTCCAAACTCTGTTTTCATAATTAGCATCTGCCCTGCCTTCGGACTCCTCAACGGTAGGTTGATGCACACAGCCATAGCAGGTTACTTTTGTGTTCTGTTCTACCTAGCGTGAGTTTGGGAATGTCACCTGACCTGAAAGTGAAAAGAAAATGTAACATTTCTTACTTCTGTATTGGAAGAGAAATACTATTTAGTTAGCTTCACCAAAGAAAAGTGAGTCAAATATGCCTATGCATTTACATGTAGGCAACTCCCAAATCAATACTTTTTTAGTTAGCAACTGGTAATAAAAACCTTAGATAGTTTTCCTCATCCGTGCCCAAATCTAAAGTCTCTGTTCCCGTGTCATCTATGGATTGGTTTTTGTTTGTTTTAAAATTTTTTTTTTTTTTTTGTAATAACACATTTTCAAGTAGAAGGAATCAGTAAGTGTTGCTGGTATGGATGAGTGAATGCATGTGGAGTCACCCCTCACCTGCACCCCTCTGTGGTTAATTCCTGAACTTTCCTAGTCTCTTAAGCAGAAAAATGAGTGGTATGATTACCTTTTAGAAACTGAGCCTTAAAATTTTTACAGGGGGGAAGTGAGTGCCCCCCTGACTCAGAGTAAGCAACGTGTGATAGCAAAGGTATGCCTTCATAAATGCTCAAGAGTGTTCTCTCTCTTCTGGTAACCATGTTCAGAATGTGAAACCGTCGTTCCAGGATTATAAATAAATTTTATATTTTTAAATGTGTGTTGCATTATTTCCTCCAGCCCTTTACTCTCTTCTGGTTTTGAGTAAGTTAAATGCTTTCTTTCTACAAACAAGGGCTGCCTGTTTTTATTTCAGTGACACAGTTAAATTTTACTGGACTGGAACACTCGGGCAACTAGAACATCAACCACTTTTCTCATCTCTCTCTTAGCTTAGTCGTTTAGACTCTGGCCCGTGGACTCCACCTTGGACCGGGTCACAGACTTCAGTTGCTTTACAGGTGAACTCAGGCAGTTGTATCTCATCGACTCCCTGGGTAGGCCGGGTCTAGCACTGTCAGTACATACTCTTCTTACCTGGATAGAGGAGTTTCTCCAAAGGACGATTTGCAGCCAGGTTTCCCTTCTGGTCAGGGCACCACCTTTCCGTTCTTCCTACCTCCTTTCCCTTTGCTGTGAGTCTGTCCCTCCCCAAAATGTGCAACTCCAAATATTGATATGTGGAGGTGACTCTTTTTTTTTTCTCAGAAAGAATTTCTTTCTACTTTGTGTATTCAGTGCTACTTGAATTAATCTATTTTATTAGCTTAGTTCTCAGGAAAGCTGATAGAACTATTTTGTCTGTACACCAACAAAGCATATCTTTACAAGAGTACAATGAGAACAATACTGTAACGTATTCACTTGAGAATCTAATGCTGTCTCAAAACCTTTTTCTGTAGGTCTTTGATTCATTCAACTCATTTTCACATTGCTTGAGGAATTGCTGTATTACTGAAAACATGTTTCTGGAAAGCTAGTGTATGCACAGGTTTAGTATAGGGTGAATTGAACTTTTTTTTTTTAAATACATTTGCCTCCCTAATTTTTATTATTATCGTTTTTAAAGAGTACACGATTCTTAAGCAAATTTATTTATTTTCATTTTGTTGAAAGGTAGACACATACGACTCACTAATTCACTCCCCAGATGCCCACAACAACCATGGCTGGGCCAGGCTGAAGCCAGAAGCTTAATCCAAGTCTCCTATCTGGGTGATGGGGACCCGGGTAATCAAATCATCATATGCTGCCTCCTGAGGTGCATGTTAGCAGGAAGCAGGTTTGGAAGCAGAAAGATGAGACTCGAGTGAGGCCTCTGATGTGGGATGTGGGTGGGACAAGCAGTGTCTTAACTGCTTCAATAATTGCCCACATCCTCTAATATTATTATTTGACAGGCAGAGTGGACAGTGAGAGAGAGAGAAAGGTCTTCCTTTTCCGTTGGTTCACCCCCCACAATGGCCGCTGCGGCCGGTGCACCGCGCTGATCCGAAGCCAGGAGTCAGGTGCTTCTGGTCTCCCATGCGGGTGCAGGGCCCAAGCACTTGGGCCATCCTCCACTGCCTTCCCGGGCCACAGCAGAGAGCTGGCCTGGAAGAGGAGCAACCGGGACAGAATCCGGCGCCCCAACCAGGACTAGAACCCGGTGTGCTGGCACCGTAGGTGGAGGATTAGCCTATTGAGCCACGGCGTCAGCCCCTCTAATATTTTATACCCACTTTAGGAGAAATTATGTTCAGAGTGTAGTGTACAAGAGTTCCTGTAATTATAATGAGAGATCAAGGGTAGAAGGGATTTGGCAGGAAAATCCCATCAGATGGTAACTTTTATCGAACCCTTGCAGCCTCGAAGTTTTCCTGTAGGTTCAGACTTCCCAGCCAATTCAGCTTCGCCTTGCTGATTTGCACCATCCTCTCAGTGCATATGTTGCACTTCGGGTGTTCCGTTGGTATCTTGACACTTGGCAGGGGTTGTTGGGATTGCAGATGACATGTTGTGGTCAGGAGGTCTACCTCTTGGCCAAAGCTGCTGTCGGTCTTGATTTCTGAAAGGTGATTTTTACTGACCTACCCTGCCTTGTGATAGGACAGAGGAGGCTGTAATGGGAGCCAGGGCAAAGCTGGGATTCGGGACTGGTGCTGTAAGTTGGGACCCCTAAAGATCTTGACAAAAGCTGTGTGCTTAGTTTTGCTCTTTAACATGTGTTCTTCATGAGTTGATGCTAGTATTTGAGGTTACTTTTTTGGATAATGGTGAAGGTGATGGGGTAAAGAACCATGAGACATTCCCTAATTGTGGCTCTAACCACAACTGAGGCTGTGTCGTCTTTGATAATTGTCTATTTATTGTGACATGGTAGAAATACAAGTGTGTATGTGAAAGTATGTAGGTATACTTCCAGGGAGGAGATAAAAGCACTGCATTTGCGTTACCTAGGCCAATAAGCAGAACTTGAGTACATCCCAGAAGAAGGAAGTCAACGGTTTCTTAATCCGGTTACTGTTGACAGACAGTAGAGCCATTTCTAACCTTGTTGTACACGTGTTTGTGTCTCTCCTGTTACACATGCGGAGGAGTTCTCTAAGCTTACATGTGGTCAGAATTAGGACTGCTGTGCAGTAGGGGATGAGCATATTTAGTTTTAGTGTGAAAACTGTCAAACTGCTCCTGAAATGTCTGTGCCATTTTACACAGCCCATCAGCAGTGCGTGACAGCAACACTTGTACTTATTGTAATAACTTTGGATGTATTTTTGTTATCTCATGCTTTGTTTCTTTCAATGTTTCATACTTTCAGTGTTCACTTTTTTTGGTTTATTAATTCATTTGCTCTGTAAATTGGAGACTAATGGCCTCTAATTAATCCACTTTAATGGAAATTAACCTTTCCCACTCGGGATCCCTTTCCTTTGGTGAGAGTGCTGGTGTCAGATCCCTGGTTTTGCCTTTCTGGAAGCACATTTACTTTATACTCATTCTTAAGAAGTTGTTGCTGGGTGTAGAAGTTAACATTCACATCAACAGTGTGTTTTCTCTAAGCACATCATTCCATGGCTGCTCTTGAGAAGTCAGCCACTAGCCTTGTCATTGTGTTTTTGAATATTTGAAATATCTGAATGTTGAAACTAATATTTCTTTGAGTGTATTTAAGATCATTTCTTTGTTATTTTGCCCTTTCACTATGATGTGTGTAGTTGTATATTTCTTGTTATCTGTCTTCTTGAGGCTTGACTTTTCTTTGTGGATTGGTACTTTTCATCAGTTCTGGAAAGTTCACAGAAAATCCTTTATTTGGTATCTTTGCCATATCTCCGTGCACTCTCTTTTTAGAAGGATGGTTAAGCTAATGTTCATTTTTTTAAAAATGTTTTCCATTTTTTGCCTATCTATACTTCTTTTGGGATAGTTTTTTTTTTTTTTAATTTAACTGATTTATTTTAAAGGGAGAGTGAGAGAGAGAGAATGTAAGACAGAAAGAGGGTACTTCCATCCACTGGTTCACTTTCCACATGGTTGCAATTACCAGGGCTAGGCCAGGCCAAAGCCAGGAGCCATGAATTCCATCTGCGTCTCCCTTGTGGTGGCAGGAACTCAAGTACTTAAGCCATCTTCCTCAGTAGGGAGCTGGAGCAGCTGGAACTGAAACTATTGTTCTCTTATGGGATGCCACCATTGTTTTAACCCACCCATTATACCACAGTGCCAGCCCCTGGACAGTCTTAATTGTACCACTTAACTGATTCTTTTTCCAGTTCCATTGAAGTCTACTGTTATATCCCCTCATTGAGTTTCTAATTTCTAAGTTTTTATAATAGGACTTCTGTGAGTTGTATCTGGTGTTTTTCAAATATTCTTACTCTTGTAAGTTTTGAAATACCTTATGCTTATTGGTTACATATTTTTCCTAACAGTTCAAAGACATTACATTTGGAGGGCTAGAGTCTATTTTTTTATGCTGCTCTAGTTCATGGAGTCTTATTTCTTTGTAAATGCAGAAAGGGTGATCATGCCCTTTTTTGGATTATATTCTATATACACAGAATATATATATATATATATATATATATATATATATAGAGAGAGAGAGAGAGAGAGAGAGAGAGAGAGAAAGAATAATATATTCTATATTGTCCTGGAAGACAGCCACACTCATTTGTTTATATGCATATGGTTGATGCTTTTGCATTTCAGTGCAAGTGGCAAAGCTGTGTCATTGTTGCAGTGACTAAATGGCCCACAAGCCTACGAATTCATTATCTGACCCTTCCTCCTAAATAGATTGCTACCCCAGCTCTAAACTCAGTTTCTGCTTGAGGTTTACTGAGCCATGTAGATGGTGAGAATTTATTTAGCCTGTAGACCCCAAAGAGGGGGCTGTGGCTTGGTTTTGAATTCTCTGAATAATGTTTTTGAGATTCACCCATCTTGTGTTTATAAGTAGCTCATTCCTTTTAATTGCCAAGTGGTTTTAATTCCTTTGGGGAAAATTATTTTTCCCTTTCACTTTGCAGGTATCCTGGAGCACAAGCAATTTATCTTGCTCACATCCGGAAGTCAAGGGATGGGCAATTTTTGTACTGTATTCCTTCACGGAGGATGTGGCCCTATCAGATCCCACCTTCAACAAAGAGTGTCTTAAGTTTGGCTCAGAGGCTCAGAAGGCTCCAAGTACCAATGCTAGAGTTTACTGGGTTCAGGCAATGCTGGAGGTTCAGCCACCTGCTGTCTTCTCTGCTGTGGTCTCCTAACTTCCCTGCTAGTTTATAGAAGTATTCAAAATGATTTTCTTTTGCCATACAGAAGGAGGGTAGTACTCTTTGCTGGAAATAAAAGTTTTAGAATGAGACAACTCTAAATTAAAAACAAAAGTTACTCTGAGTGTTTTAGCCTGTTAAGGTCATTATTTTAATATAAAGAGCAAAAACTGCTTTAGAGTCATTACTGTTCATTTGCAAATTAAATATTTTGCCAAAAGATTTTCATAAAATGAAGTGATTTGCAAGAAGAAGCAGACTGACATGGGGAAAGCGAGAAGGCTTTTAGCATCAGTAGAAAATACCAGAGACCCAAAAGCAGGAAGGCACATGAAGGAAGTAGCATTCTTGCCTCATGGGTGGTTGCCAAGTTTTGTGTCTGCCCGTGTTACATTGCAGCCTGCGCTGAAGCTGCAAGGCCCTTGATGGTCCGTTACGCGGGTCATAAATCCCTTTGAT